GGAAATCCATTTAAATCAACACAGATTTATCTCTCAACGTGGAGTAATACAAATTGCAGGAGAATGCAAGCAGGGTGATACAGTTATGTAAGGCTTAAAAACACACAAAATGATACCACCTAGCACTTAGTGATAAAAACGTATGTGGTCAAAATAGAAGAAATGCATGAAAAATAAATTTGTGTTAGATAATATTTTGAGGGAGAAAAAGACAACTTGATAATGTCTGTCCATTAAGATGCTAACTTTCAACTTTTCTGCTCTCTGCCATTTAGAAAACATTAAGGAATCTCCCATCCATCCTTGTCCTCACATGTGCCAAAATGCCCTTGTATCATAGCAATTAGGTAATGTGAGGAAAGTGATTTGAACATGAAAAATTGTACCTAAAAACTAAGTAAGTAATGCTATTAGGTGCACTTAGAGTGAGCTAGAACAAGACCACTCTCTGTCAGTTGCCAACAGGTAGATCTGAAGCAGGGTAAAAACTGGGCCATGTCTAACTAGGAATTCTCATCATTCTCTGGGCTTTTACTTTATGAGTCATGTGACTTGGGAAAACACCCTGCCTTGAACTTCCTTTGATGTTCTCTTATTTGAGAGAGTGTATTTTCAGTTGCATTTCTTATTTTGAAGTTGGAGTCCCATTCTCTGAGGCCAAAACGGGGCTCTCTATATTCTGAGCAACTACTATTTGAAAGAGGAAAGATAAAAACAACTCTCTTCCATTTTTAAAAATCAAAGTGCATCTAATTCATCACTGGTAAGCAATTTTTAAAACAATGCAATTCATTTAATGATTTTACAAAATGCTGATTAGATCCATGTTCATGATACAAACGGACCTTCCCTTTCCGTCATGCCTCAGGACAAGCTGCAGGGAGAAACCTCTTTTATTCAAACCTAGGCAACCAGCTTGCAGCTGGTTTCCACTGCTTTGAACGCAGCAAGGGGGCTGGCAGGAAAGGCGGGTGTTCCAGCTAACTCAGTGGTGCACCATCTTTTTGTCCAGAGGACTGATTTAGACACAGCCAAGTGGAACAACACACAAGCAAGACACTAAATCTGATTCCAAACCTAGTCCCTATCAATTATGAAGGCTCCCTGAGGAAACAGCCTGGCATCCGTATTCTAAATTCTCCGGCACAGCGCCATTAATTAGCACAGCAATTAGGGATGTCGCTATCAGTTCAAACTGTTTCGTATCTTCTCCTGGCCGTGGTCAGACAAAGGTGGCAAAACACAGTTCAATGTAATAAAGAATCCGTAGTTTTTATTGTTGGCTGTTGAATGCTCACTCTTTCAACAGCTGCACCTCCATTCTGTGGTTTTCAATGATACTGTCTACATGAGAAGGCAATTATTTGGGACCAAAAAAAAAAAGGAAAATTCCCTGAGATTTAAGACATTTACATCTTGCCACTATTGCCTGAAATCTCTGTACCTACTTTGCAAGCATTTCAGGATGTAATTATTTTTCCATTAAAATGTGACACAGAACCCCTCAGACAAGATGAAAATATTTTCTACCTCAAAGCGTTAAATAAGAAGTCAGAACCTTATCCTAAAGCACTAAGCTAATACTCTTATGTCGGAAACTGAGTTTTTCCTTTGACATTTCAGTTTTATAGATATTCTATCCTTAGCTTCAGTGAAACATTATTAGCCTGCGTGCTCAAGTATTTCTTTTCCTAATTGTACATTTTGTCCTCACACTGAGAAGAAAATCAGCAAAAATAGTGCTTGAGGAGTTCTAAGGATATCAATTCATGCTGCTGGGGTAAAAAGAATATCAAATGAAAGCAGCCAATGTTTACTTGCTCCTGAGAGAGTAAGTCTTGCAGACCAAGGAGCATAGTCACTAGGAAGCCCATTGTCCTATATTGGACTCCAGCCCCCCTCACTCCTCCCTGCTTCCTCCCTTCTCCTCATATATTAAGTTTTTTGAGAGTCAAGCCTATAATTACTCTTAATTCTACAGTCTCCAATGCAATTTTAAAGCACATAAAAGATAAATAATTGTTAGAAAACCCACTGCGTGGGAAAACATATTTGCCAACGTCATATCTGATAAGGGCCTAATCTCCAAAATTTATAGGGAACTCTTACAACTTAAGAAAAAGAAGATAAACAATCCAATCAAAAAATGGGCAAAGGATCTAAATAGACACCTTTCAAAAGAGGACATTCAGAAAGCCAAGAGACATATGAAAACATGCTCAAAGTCACTAATCATCCGAGAAATGCAAATCAAAACAACAATGAGGTACCATCTCACACCTGTCAGAATGGCTATCATCAACAAATCAACAAACAACAAGTGCTGGAGAGGATGTGGAGAAAAAGGAACACTTGTGCACTGCTGGTGGGAATGTAGACTGGTGCAGCCACTATGGAAGACAGTATGGAGTTTCCTCAAAAAACTGGAAATGGAACTCCCATTTGACCCTGTGATCCCACTTCTAGGAATTTATCCCAAGAAACCAGAAACACCAATCATAAAGGATATATGCACCTATATGTTCATAGCAGCACAATTCACCATAGCTAAGATCTGGAAACAGCCTAAGTGCCCATCAGTAGATGAATGGATTAGAAAACTGTGGTACATCTACACGATGGAATACTATGCTGCTGTAAGAAAGAAGGTACTCTTACCATTTGCAACGGCATGGATGGAGCTGGAGAGCATTATGCTAAGTGAAATAAGCCAGTCAATGAAGGAAAAATACCACATGATCTCACTCATTCATGGATAATAGAGACCATTATAAACTTTTGAACAATAATAGATACAGAGGCAGAGCTGCCTCACACAGATTGTCAAACTGCAGCGGGAAGGCCGGGGAGGGTTGGGGGGCAGGAGGGAGGGAGTTAAGAGATCAACTGAAGGGCTTGTATGCATGCATATGAGCATAACCAATGGACATAAGACACTGGGGGGTAGGGCAAGCCGGGGTATTGTCAAGGGTGGGGGGGAAAAAAAAGGACACATATGTAATACCCTTTGTAATGCTTTAAGCAATAAAAAAATAAAAAATAAATAAAAGTCAGATCCAATCAAAAAAAAAAAGATAAATAATTGTTGATTGATTGACACATGAAGTCTACAATTTAAATAAACTGGCCAAAGTAAATATGTTTTCTCAGCTATTCTTCTAAAGAATATCCACTTAGTTACAATGAATTTTGATTCAAAAGCTATGAAATTACATAATCCAGGCTAGATAGCAAAGATCCCTACTATTTTTCACATATAAAACTTTTCTTTAATCATTTCCTAATTGCAGTGATTTAGAGGCTAAACTCTAAAGTTGGATTCTTCATGTTTTAAACAGGAATCTCTACTGTTGATACTAAACTAAGTTCCAATGTTCTCTTGTCAGTAGATAAGAAAACTAAAGATAAGAAAGCATACATCATAAACAAGATGAGCGATGAATTCACATGGCCCAAGAGGAAAGTTCTTTGTCCTTCAACTTAACCGACAAATACTGATGAGCAGTTTACTTCACCAACAGGGTTGCTTTTTGAAAGGTTTAAATGAAAGAGTGACAGGGTTTAGAGTGAGGACTTGACATTCTTCCCCTGAGCATAAAAGTGATACTTAAACAATTATTTATGTTCAGAAAAAAATCTCAATTTAAAAACCATGCTTGGTACATCCCCAACCTTTTCAAAAACAGATTTCTATTAGCTACTTCTCTGTATTATCCATATTAATTTAAGGTCATTGGGGCTCAAATAATGCACTAAACTTCCGGAAATCTAGCACAAGTAGATTTTAAGAACTATGACTGCATTACCATAGTCTATCTAGTCTTTGGTTTATGTATTAAAATATCATGCTTGTTTGGAAGCAGCTTCAATAGCCCCTTACAGTTTCTAGTACTGTGATTTTTGTTTCCATTTTATGAAAATGTAACACACAATTGTGTGCCTGTCACACATAGTTGATGACCAAAAAAAATAAATAAATAACATATTTTGTTTTTTCCACTATTAATATCCTGCCATAATTAAAGGATGGGTAGAAGGTACCAAAGACATGGTATGATTTATACTGAAGGAAAATGCATGATCTATAGTTTTTCCTATGAAATATTATTATTGTGGGTCATGCATTAAAGAATCACTAACCTCCTAAAACCCAAAAAGTGTAAAACTACCATAAGAGCCAACGGCTGGGTCCATTTTGACTCTATTCTTCAAAGCAAATTAGAACTAGACCTACAATGCAGCCAATGAGAGTGTGAGTTTCCATTCCTCTCCATGGGGATTATTTAGTGTAGCAATTTAGTGATGAGAAAATTACCATAGTCCTCAGTTTCTGGACCCAAGGAGATATTAGAGTGGACATCGCACATCTGGATCTTGACCATCAGATGCAAATTTCGTAAAAATTAGGCATATTGTGAAACTAATAAACTCATTGGTGACTAGGTTTGTGAAAGTTCTGGCTTTCTCTAGTTTCTGTTTTATAACTAATCCTATCACACACAGAAATGTCACTTAAGATCAGAGAAACTCAGTCACTATATCAAAAAAGAGAAAAAGGTAGAAAAGGTAATTAAGAATTTTCTATTTTGAAGGCAGTCAAACTAATGTATTTCCCATGAGAGCATAAAGGAAACAAAGGAGTGGTTTTGAGGGAATTTGTTAAATCCTTTTATTAAGCATCTTGAAGCGACTAGATGAGACCAGGTAGGATCAGAGTAGTGTCGAAGGTAAATGGATTTTGTGGCAATTTTCTCCCTTCTCTTGAGATGTTTTGAGTGCACAGTTCACCTGAATTAATTATATGAGGCATAATTTAGAAGGAAATAAAAAAAAGGGTCCTGCCAGTATGCAAGGAATAGCAAAGAGTCCAGGACAAAATCTCCAGAGAACTAATTACTGGTGTCTAAACTTGAACATTTTGTGTGAAACATTTTCATCAAAGAATATAAACAAAGAAGTTGAAGCTGATCGTTTCATTCATTACTACGGAAATGCAGTACCTTGCCTGACCCACTCTCCACGATGAAGTTTGTGCTCTAACGTATAGCAACACTTGTGATATCCAGAGAGCAGTTCTGCCCAGTTAATGGTCACAGTGGCTTCTTCATTTTCACATGCACTAGCGGGACGCTCAAACAGGGAAATCAAGGCTGTTGTGAAAACAATGGCTTGAACCTTGAGAGGAATATTGAAAGAGAAACAAACATGGGCAGAGAAATCAATCTACATTCTTTAACATTAAAAAATTGATATTGAATCAATAGGAAGTTCTTCAATATTATTTAAAAGATGCAAGCAGTTATATTAAAAGACAGAACAACTACAATGTTAGTAAGGCAATTATCAAGGGCGGTTCATTTACTTTTATGATATACTCGTCATTAATAAGAGTAAGAATAAAAATCTTTGACAATTATAAAAGGAAATTGTTCAAATTAGACTACTTAAGAGTTCACAGCCATATTCTAGTGTCATTCAGTAGATAATAATTTTACAGAGATCGGGTGGAATTTGATAGGAAGTCAGAAATCATTGCCTCCCTGTATGGGTGTCTGTGCTGCCTCTCTAATGCATCTATCCTTTGTTAAATGTAGAGGAAATGATCACTTTCCAGGAGGCTGGTACTGAGAAGCCTGAAACCTTATGAATAAAAATCAGAATAAGGAATTTGAAAGAGTTACGAGAGATAACTTTAGTCATTTGATATTAAGTGTTTATTAAGATTGGAATCTAAAAGATTATAAGCATCTAGACCAGCTGGTGTTGCTCAATGGCTGGGCATTGATTCCTGGTTGGGGCACATGCCCAGGTTGTGGGCTCAATCCCCAGTGTGGGACATGCAGGAGGCAGCCGATCAATGATTCTCTCCCATCACTGATGTTTCTATCTCTCTCTCCCTCTCTGAAATCAATAAAAATATATTTTTTAAGATTATAAGCACCCTATGGTGAAAAAAGAAAAAAAAATTTCTAAATATGAAAATTGAGATTATACATAGTCAAGAAAACCCACAATAGAGATTATTTGTTATAAGCAAGAAGAGAGGCCCTGGCTGGTGTGGCTCAGTTGGTTGGAGTGTCATTTGATACATCAAAAGGTGGCGGGTTCCATTCTCAGTCAGGATACAGACCCAGGTTGCAGGTTTAATTCCTGGTCCAGGCATAGGCGGGAAGCAACTGATAGATGTCTCTCTCTCTCTCTCTCTCTCTCTCTCTCTCTCTCTCCCTCTCTCGTCAATCAATAAATAAAAACTTAAAATAAAAAAAGAAGAGAAATTGTGATGACCTAATCCATTTTTTTCCATGTCCATCGTGTGTGGTCTTATAATCTATAATGCAGTTCAATTAGAAGGTCACACTCATTGCATTCTATTTCTATATGTAGCTACTGTTTGATAATTAAATAGAGGAGTGTTCAATCTTATTGTTCCCTTACTTACCTTTCCAGTTATGTCCCCAAAAGACAGAATTGATTCATTGGCATCAAGAGGGTCATACCAATAATCCATGCAAATTGGTGTTCCTTTCAGGCCTTGGAGTTTATATTGACAAGGAAATTGTTCTTTGGACAGCAGATCATAAAAACAAATCTCTTTCCTTGTAAAAGCCACCGCTATCTAAAGAAACAAGGTAGAAAGTCAGAAAGCATGTCTGATGGATTTAGTGAAATAAATATGCAAAGCAGACATGCAAATCTTAGCACCAAATCAGACATCATTCCCTAAGGATTCTTAAGAGCATTACATAAGTATTGCATAGTGGTACAAATGTGTTTTATTCTAACTTTGGACAGTAACCAAGAAAAAATATTTGTCATTGATGTTATTTGAACATTCTTTATTTTTACTTCATATGCCCACCAACTTCTAACTATGGGAAAAAGATGACTAATCACCAAACAAAGACACAGAGAGCTACAGGTTTACACAGTCATAACAGAAGCTTTACAAACCATGTTTTACAAAGCAAGCAGAAGCTGTCACAAAACTCAATTGATAAAAAACCTGGTAAGAAGCCTTCCTAAGCCAGATAATATCCTAAAATCTATTTTTAAAAGAGCCAACAAATTTTTCAATAATATTGACAAAGCTTACCTAATCTAATCCAAGATATAAAAGAGAAAAGATACACATTACTAAAATCATAAATGAGAGTGGCTATTACTATCAACTTTATAGAAATAAAAAAAGGATTATAAGATGATACCATGGCCCTAGCCAGTGTGGTTCAGTGGATAGAGCATTGGCCTGCTGACTGAAGGGTCCCAGGTTTGATTCTGGTCAAGGGCACATACTTCGGTTGGGTTGCAGTCTCCTCCCTGGCCCAGGCCCCGGTCAGGGTGCATGCAGGAGGCAACCAATCAATGTGTTTCTCTCACATCAATATTTCTCTCTGTCTTTCCCTCTCTCTTCCACTCTCTAAAAAAATCAATGGAAAAATATCCTTGGGTAAGTGTTTAAAAAAAGAAAAAATACTGTGAACAATTAGATGGCAACAAATAACTTCAATTAAATGAACAAATTCATAGAAACACAAAAATTACCTAAACTAACTCAAAAGGCATAAAAAACTCAGCAGACACACAATAAAAGACTAAATTAGTAATAAAAATAAAATTCTAGTCCCAGATGCTTCACTAATAAATTCCACAAACATTTAAAGAATCAACACTAATCCTTCTAAATCTCTTCCCCCAAAAAATAGAAGTGGAGGAAACACTTCTGAAATCATTTTATAAAACCAATATTACCGTAATACCAAACCACACAGAGGAGAAAATGTGTATAAAAAAGAAACATAGCAACTATTCACAATGTTTGAAATTTATTTGGATCTTGGTTCAAACTAACTGTCAAACAATAAACTATTAAAAACAATAAGACAAGGAAATATGTACATGACTGGATATTTAATGATATTAATGAATTATTGCTATTTATATTAAATGTAGAGTGGTGTTTGGTTATATTAAAAAGAGACACATTTTAAAAATACCAAATATTTGCAGATTAAATGATTGAATGTTTTGGATTTCAAAGAAGGGAGGTATAGGTGAAACGAGATTGCATGTGAATTCAAAAATGGTTAAGGGTGAATATTGGTTCTTAATACTATTATTCATGCTCGTGTGTGAGTTTAAAATTTTTAAAGTGAAATTTACCATCTACTTAATATAAAATACTAAGAACATGAATTCTTTAAGCTGCATCCTCTCACAAACTGATTTTCCTTTCAGTATGTTACCTTGCTCGTAGGCATGGCTATAGAAAGATATTTGGACTGAGTGGACCCTACACATCAGAATTAAGAAACTGATTAGTACAGTGGTCAAAATCATCAAAATGAGACAAGCAGTTCCCTGTAATTGCACTCAGCTGTGCCACGCATTGTATACCCTCTCAGTTCTGCATATAATGCAGCATGACCACAGTGGAGACAAAGCCAAGCATCTGAATCATCAGCCGTGTCATTTAAAGGCACACAAGAGAACAGCTTGGAAAACAGAGTAGCTCCCTTGGCTCTACTTGTATTCCCTCCAGGTCAGGTTAGAGGCACAAAAGAGTAATGCTCTGTTGCTGCTGGTGTTACACTTGACATTGATCTAGAACCCTGTCCCATCATGTGTCCCCTTATACAAGCAATAAATTTATGTATAAAGACTTTGTACCTTGTTTACATTTTCCAGAGAAACCAGACTTGTCACCCACAGGTGTTTAAGCTTGGTGGCATCTGACGTGATGGGGAATGTTTTTTGCAGCTTTAAATTCTCTCCCCAGATTCCTAATGAACCTTCCTGACTGATGGTCAGATAACGACTTGAATTCTTTAAGAAAATGACTTTTTGAATGGTGTCCTTGTGTTTCACTGGGAGGAACTTAAGGTCTTTCCACTGGGGAACCGCAGTCGCCTTTGCTCGTTCGTCGTTTTCATAAAGTGTTAACAGCATAAATGAAGTCAGCTTGTCCCAGTTAATGAAGCCATCCTGGGCCACATCCACTTTGTCAAAGAGCTTCCCGTATTCCTCCTTTGTGCCCCAACCAACAATCTCTGTCATCCTCTGCATAAACTCTTCTCGAGACATACAGATGGTTTGACCTGGCTCTAGGGGCTAGAAATTGGGATAAAAAGAAGACAGCAGTGAAAACATCCTAAGTACCAGAGTGTTTTTGCTACACTCCACCCCCAAGGTGGATCTAATCAGCGATTCTTCCAAGATGCAAAGAAAAATGTCTTTTACTTTCTACTTAAGTGACTTGTGGTAGGGAGAGCAAATAACTGATAGTGCTATAAGCAGACATCCTCAATAACATGTGTCCCTGTAAGTGGAAGAGGGAGGCAGGAGAGTCAGAGATTAGATATGATGATGGAAATGGGGGTCAGAGTGATGCAGGGCTATGTATTAGGGACTGTGGGCAGCTTCTAGAAGTTGAAAAGGCAAGGAAACAGATTCTCTCCTAGAGCCTATAGAAGGAAGACAAGTCTGACATCACCTTGATTTTAGCCCCATTTTGAAACTTCTGACCTCTGGAACTGTGAGAGAATAGAGCTGTGTAAGCTACTAAACTCATGATAATTGCTTATAACATCCATAGTAAATTAATTCAGTGATTTACAGAAAATGGGTGAATCCTTGAAGAAAGTTTAGCACAACAAGTAAAATGATACAACAGTGGAACTTTAATTCAAGGGCAAGTAGTCCACTTCTATAAATACACACAAAGAACAGTAAACACATATACAGTTGACTTTTGTTATTCATGTTAGTTATGTTTTATGAAGTCTCTACAAACACTAAATCAGCAGATATTCAACCATTGATTCTGGGGGAAATACAGGGTTAGGCTTCTTTGAGCCTCTGGTCACAGTATTTTCATCAACTGATCAATTCATAATTTTGTTTTATGCGTGTTTCTGCTGAAAGACACCTTATTTAATCTATATTATTAATTCACTAACATTGAATTCATGGCCAACAGCACTATAACTCATGACTGAATGAAATGTATCTAGCACAGGTATTTTCTTCATAAAGCACATCACAGCCTTCTTGCACTTAGAAACACTAGATAGCACTTCAGCACTGCTCTGTGGGGCCATATAAAGAGTGAAATAACCAACAAAAAGCACAAAATGCAAAAAACTTGGCAGTAAATACACCACAAATAGGATTCTTGTTTATGGTAAGAGAATTGAAATAAGAAGGCAGAGTACAGTATTATCTTCTCTGACCTCAGCCTGGAGTATATACATTGGAAGTTTTTTGCTATTCTTCATATGTCTGTGAATGTTCATAAAATTGCCTTAAGTATTGATTTTGACATGACAAATAAGTTTTAGCAAATAGGCAAATTCACAAATACAGAATTCATGAATAATAAAAATCATCCATATTTCAAGAAAGTACATAGCTTAATATTGGTAGGTTGTTTAGTGTATTGAGACTCATGATGAGAGAATCTACTTTTCCTATTAGTTCAGAGCCAAAAAGTAAGGGTTGACAGTTAGCTCTGGGAGGCAGCCTATTATAGAGCAGGTCAAACAATTACAGATTTAATCCTGACTCCATCAGAAATTGGGGAACTATTGGGAGGCTACATCACTGCTGAACCTTAATTTCCCCATCTATAAAATGAATATGGCAATATCAGTCACAAGAAAATTGTTATAAAGATTAACTTACATATCAATAGATGCATAAAAAGTGTTTGACAAAATTCAATACCCATTCATGATAAAAATTCTCAGTAAACTAAGAATAAAAGAAAACTTCCTCAACTTGATAAATAATATCTGCAAAAAACATACAATATGCATAATGGTGAGAAACTAAGTTTTTCTATTAAGATCAAGTACAAGGCAAGAATGTCCAGTCTCATCATTGGTCTTCAACATCATACTGTAAGCTCACTTAATACAATAAGAAGATGCCAGGGTCATCTATGTAGAATGTCTGAAAGAATCAACAAACTCCTGAAACTACTGAGTGATTACAGCAAGGTTGTAGGATATAAAACTAATATACAAAAGCCAATGGCTTTGAATAAATGGAATGAACAAGCAATGAACAAATGGAATTTGATATTAAAACCATAATACCATTTACATTACCATCCACAGAAATAAAATACTTATGTATAAATCTAACAAAATACATATGTACAAGATATATCTGATAAAAACTACAAACTTTTGATTAAGAAATCAAGAAGAACTAAATAAATGGAGAGTACCTGTTCAAGAACAGGAAGATTCAAAATAATCCAAAGATTCCATGAAATCCCAATCAATATCCCAGAAACTTATTTTGTGGATAAAAAACCTGATTCTAAAGTTTATATGGAAAGGCAAAAGACCCCGACAAGCTAATAAAATATTGAAGGACAAGAACAAAGATGGAGGACTGACTCTGCTCAACTTCTAGACTTACTATAAAGTTATAGTAACCAAGACAGTCTGGTATTGGCATAAGAATCGACAAATAGAAGACCTTATCTTTTCTAACCAAGGACACTTGAGAACAAATGGTTTATACCTCTTCTCCAAAAGCAGAGAATACATAGCTTAAATCATCATGGTTGGGGAGATAAAAAACAGAGACCCAATTAATGCCACTTGTGCTAGCTAAAACCAAGGACAGATAAAGTCAGGGGAACAAATAACAAAAACCTATTTAGAGCCAAACAGATCAAAGATAAAAGTAAAACAGTAAAGGGGACCAAAGAAAAATCCCAAACTCCCCAATTTTATTATCATGTTAAAAACATACCTGGAACGCTGATGAATATTCTACTGAAACCCTCTCCTAAGATTCTCACCCACAGAAAAAAGATAAAAACTTTCAAGACAAAGACCCAGTGTGGTCTTGCTTTAAAGCATGCCCATAAGCCTTTCCTGGCCTGAACTTTTTACTTCCTCCTAATTCTAAGAGTCTCCTGAGACCTGGAACTAGGAGAGCAATGGGCAATGGCAGCTTGACCTGGGCTTACCCCCTGACTCTGTCTTCGAGGCCCCTTTTTCCTCTAACTTTCCAGCTAACAGCAGCCCCACCTTGGCTCACTTTTGTCACTGTGACCTCCACTTCCCAGTGAGCTAACAGCATCACTTCTTTCCTATAATGTTTCCAGGGAGCCAAAGCAGAGCACCGCCTAGGCTCTCTCCTGTTGCTTCTTCTACCCTAAGTCTTTCCTTTGCTTCATGTCCTCAGCTTTAAAAGTGTAGAAGCATCGAACAGATCGTCCAACCTCAGAGGGAAGGTAGGGAGGGGGAGTGGGTACGAGATCAACCAAAGGACTTGTATGCATGCATATGATAAGCATAACCAATGGACACAGACAGTAGGGGGTGAGGGTATGTGCTGGTGGGTGGGAGCAGCTGGGGAGAGGTCAATGGGGGGAAAAAGACATGTGTAATACTTTAAACAATAAAGAATTTAAAAAAATATCCTCATAATCACCTGGACTTGTGTTGTGAAATCTTTCCTGCACGAAGTCAAGAACCCACACACTGTAAGCCAGCCTGAAGCAGACTGGCTCTGGCCCAGTCCCCATCCAGTCGCAAACTGATGTTTGACAAAGGAGGAAATACAATGACAAAAAGATAATATTTTTAACAAATGCTGTTGGGATAACTGAACATCCACATGATAAAAAAATGAATCTAGACAAAGACCTTATGTCCTTTACAAAAATTAATTCAAAATGAGTCACAAACCTAAATATAAAACAGAAAACAATAAAACTCCTGGAAGAGAACATAGAAGCAAACCTAGATTATCAGTGAGTGTGGTGATGACTTTTTAGATGCAATATAACAGGAGGCATGAATCATGAAAGAAATAATTTATAATCTGGACTTCATTAAAATTAAAAACCTTCTGCTCTGTAAAATATAATGTCAAGAGAATGAGAAGACATCATAGACTAAGAGAAAATATTATCAAAAGATATATCTGATAAAGAACTCATTCAAAATATGAAGAATTCTTAAATTTCAACAATAAGAAAAACAGCTCTATTAAAAAGTAGGCCAAAGACCTTAATATATCTCCTCAGCAGTGGCCAGATTATTATGACCACCTGACATTTGTAGGCAAATTAGCTGTACACTGCATCGTATGGAATATGGAAGCCGAAGGCCTGTTCGAACACCATTGCTGTCTGCAGTTACCAAGATAAAACGTCTCCAATTCTCACAGGAACACAGGATTGGATAGTCAAGCATTGGAAAACAGTCATGTGGTCCGATGAATCACATTTCCAGTTGCATCATGCAGATGGCAGAGTGAGAATTTGGCGGAAACAGCATGAAAGCATGCACTCCACATGCATGAGTACAACCCTTCAAGCTGGTGGGGGCAGTGTTATGGTTTGGGGCATGTTTTCCTGACATGATTTGGGCCCTTTAATTCGTGTGTAACAACGTCTGAATAGGTTGTTGATGGCATATCCCAATGGAGATGGCTTCTCCCAATAAGACAATGCGCCATGCCATGGTGCCCATATTGTGCAGGAGTGGTTTCAAGAACATGAGGGAGACTTTACCTTGCTTAGGTGGCCCCCACAATCACCAGATCTCAATCCAATTGGGCATTTGTGGGACGAAGTTAAAAGAGCCATCAGGCAGCTGGTTCCACAACCATCAAATCTCACAGAACTGGACAGTGCTATTCATCAGGCATGGTGTCAGATTCCTCATATCACTTTTCAACATCTTGTGGAGTCAATACCAAGAAGAATCGCCGCAGTATTGAAGGAAAAAGGTGGCCCAACGAAGTACTGATGGGGTGGTCATAATAAT